TGATTTGATTCTTATTTGTGCTGTGGCTAAAAGCACTGCTGGTGAGTTTTCCCTAGATACCATTGTGGTCACTTTTCCGACCTCTTTCGGTTTATAGTCTTCATGTAGCAGAAAGTTATGTTTAAACCCACATTTTATGCACCTCTTTTCAGGATTATGGCACTTTGAGCCATAGTAGTGCTCCATGCAAACGAAGCACAGTTTAGTTTTTGTTACAAACTCTCGCTTTTGCGCTGTTGTTAAAGTTTTGAACTTTTTGCAGTAGGTGATTTTATGCCCTGGTATTTTACAATACACACAGGATATTTGTTCATTGTGTTTCGTGTCAGTGACATAGTTACTTGTAAAACTTTTCTCCTTTTTTTGAAATCTATTTCCACTTGAACTTTTACTGGAAACGGCTTCTAAGGCAAGATATTGCTGTTCTAAGAAGCTGAAGACATCTTCAAGAGTTTGAATTTCTCTTGTCTTTTTTACGCTTTGCTCATATAAGCGTAGTCCTTCTTTATCAAGCTTTCTCACTAATATTCTAGCTAAAAATGGTTCAGCGTCGGTGAGGTTGATGCCCAAACCTTTTATTGCATAAATGCATTCTCTCGCTTTATCTAGTGTTATGTTTGGTGTTTGATTCATTTCACCTTTTGGTATTTTTGTTCAATTTTTGGCTTTAAGCGAGCCACGCTAAAAGGGTGATGGCCTCAAGGCCTATTTTTATTGGTGAGACAAGTTAGAACAAAACGAGGCAATGCTGCCGATTCTTGATTCAAAACAAGTCTGTTTATTTCAGTGCACAAACACTGCTTTTATAGTAAATTTTACATTTCTCCTTAAATCTAAGACACTCCCACTTTTCAGTTACTTTCCAACATTTTCATATTGTGACCAATCATAATTTATTTTATTTTGTAGTCTTGTATTTTCTAAATGTTCTTGTAGTAACGTCTCATTGCTTTTCTTTTACTCTAATTCAATTTATATTGACTTCTCATATATTGAGAAATATCAATTGTGAAACCAATCGTTTCACAGTCGCTCTACAGAGTTCATCGTCTTGAGAAAATACAACACTACAAATGTCTTCACAAAAGTGACCCACATGTGCAAGCTGCAATATGATCGTTTCGACAAAGCAAGTGGCCGCTAACGCTTAGAAAATACAACATTACAAATGTCTTCACAAAAATTGACCCACATGTGCAAGCTGCAATTTGATCGTTTCTTCAAAGCAAGTGGCCGCTAACGCTTTGCCCAATTTGTGACATATATATGAGTCATAACTCTTTTTGCTTGCATAATATTGCAGTCACATGTGTGTTTACATTACTGACCTTACTTACTAATTATTTGTAGACACACAACACTAGACAGCTTTTTAGACTAGCTGCTGATTCACTATTAATTGTTTGCAAATCTAAAATTTTGTCAAACTGGGATGTGAACAGCAATCTACGATTTTCGTATCTGTTGTTCAAAATTTCCCAGGCTGCCAAATAATTTTCGTTGGTCACCGTCAGATGTTGTATCAGACGTCCAGCTTCACCTTTAAGGTATGATTTTAGTCGATACATCTTTTCGACTTTAGAGTAGTGTGAGCTTTCGTGTATAAGACTATTAAATATGTCTTTGAATGTTGGCCATTCTGACAGGTCTCCATAAAATGGCGAAATTTTGATATCCTCTACCTTTAAGTTAGGCGTAGGACCTGATCTTTGTGATTTTATTCTGTTCTTTAGCTCTGAAACTGACATTCTTATGTCGTGCATTTCGCTTTCACAATCATCCATTATGTGCCGCATATCTTTATTTGTGGATGAATATTCTTCATATTTTTCCTCAAGTAATTTATACTCTTTTTCTAGAGTTTGCAGAAATATTTCTGAGACATCCTTTCTAATTTCATCTCTAGTCCTTGAAGCATATTTCTCAAATCGATTTATTTGATCTTCAAGTTCTTGTTTTACACCATGATTATTTTGTGTCATTGCATCACTTTTCTTTAAATTACAAGCTTCTGCAACTTGTTCCCATTCTGCATTGTATT